CTCCTGCGGCGCGTATTTTTATCCGCCATGGCCACTCCGTGCCCTTTCACTGCTTCCCCCCATGCACGCCCAGGAGATCGTCCAGGTGCCGACGGTTGTCCAACATGCCCGTCATCATCATGTCGAGGCCTGCCCGCGCCACTCGCTTCCTGTGTTCTTTTCCGTGCACTCTCCTCCTCCACCTCTTCATCCACCCTCCCTTCCTCTTTCCCCTCCCCCTTCCGCTCGCCATCTTCAGTAGTCGGTCGTCGTGTTGTGTCGTTGTCGTCGTCGCTGCCTTCGTTCGTCGCCGTTGTCGTCGTCGTCGTCGTCGTCGTCGTCGTCGTCGTCGTCGTCGCCGTCTCCGGTGGTGGCCGCCTGTTGTCCTCTTTGCCTGGACCTTCGCGGACGCGCGCGAGGGCCAGCCCAGAATCCTCCTCCTCTTCCTCCGCCTCCTCCTCCACCTTGTCCTCCTCCTCGTCTTCCTCCTCCTCCTCCACCTTCTCCTCCTCCACCTTCTCCTCGTCTTCCTCCTCCTCCACCTTCTCCTCCCCCTCCTCGTCTTCCTCCTCCTCCACCTCCTCCTCCTCCTCCTCCTCGTCTTCCCTCCTCCTCCAACCTCCCTCCCCTCCTCCTCCTTTTCTTCCTCCTCCTCTCCTCTTCCTCCTCCCCCTCCCCCTCCTCCTCCCCCCTCCTTCCTCCTCCTCCTCCTCCTCCCTCCCTCCTCACTCCTCCTCCTCCTCCTCCTCCTCATCCCCTCGTCCTCCTCCTCCTCCTCCTCCTCCCCCTCCTCCTCCTCCTCCCCCTCCCCCTCCTCCTCCTCCTCCTCCGTCAGCCCAGAGTCCAAGAGTCCCAGGGTTCGCCACCCTCGGTGGCAGTTCTGCCTCCAGCCGCGCGCCCAGGACGGCCGCGCCCCCTCGGGCGCCGGAGGCCCACAGATCACGAGGATCCGGGCCCAAGGTCCGGCGAGCTGGCCTCTCCGCCCCCTCGCGGGGCCGGCCTTCTCACATCGCCCTGCCTGCCTCGCGCGCCGCATGGGTCGAGGGCCGAGCCGGCTGCCGAGGGGCGCGGCCTCGTTTGCTCTGGTCGGCGGCCGCGCCCCCCGGGCTCCATGCCGATGCGGTCGGTCCCATTCGATTTCGACTCCGGCCGGCTCGACCCGCTTCGAGCCCGATGGTCCGAGGTCCGATCTTCCGATCCGATGCTGGCTGATCCTGCCTGACACTCGGCGCCCTTCCTCCCCTGCCCTCCTCTCTCCCTCCCTCAGGAGATCCTTCCCTCTCTCCCCTGCCCTTCTCTCTCCCTCCCTCCCCTTCCTCCCCTGCCCTTCTCTCTCTCTCCCGCCCTTCCGATCCGATGCTGACTGATCCTGGGCCTCTTGAGGTCTCTGGAGGCCCCCTGAGGTCCCACGGAGGGGCCCTGGAGGCCCCTGGGCGCCTCCGAAGGTCTCCAAACGGGCTCAGCACACGCCCCCCCCCCCCCGCCACAAACGGCAGCCCTCTGCCCTCCTGGAGGAAGCTCCGAGTGCCGATCGGCAGCCCCCCTCTTGCGGGGAGTTCGGACGGGGGCGATGGGGAGTCCGACCCGCCCCCCTCTCTCCTGATCGCCCCTTGCCGCCGCTGCTGCTCCCCCCCCTGCCGCTGCTCCCCGACCTCCCGGCCGCGTCCCTCGTCCTCGTTCTCGTTCTCGTCCTTCCGCTCGTCGCCCTCCTGCTCGCCCTCCTGCTCGTCCTCCTGCGCGTCCTCTTCGTCTTTGTTCTCCTTCCCCACGTCTTCTTTCTCCTCCTCCCTCCCCTCCTCCTCCGCCTCCTCCCTCCTCCTCCTCCTCCTCCTCCTCCTCCTCCTCCTCCTCCTCCTCCCTCCTCCATCCTTCCCCTCCTCCCTCCTCCCTCCTCCTCCACCTCCCGCCTCCTCCTCCTCCCCCTCCCTCCTTCCTCCTCCTCCTTTCTTTCTTCCATCCTCCTCCCTCCTCCTCATCCTCTTATGCCTCCCCCTTCCCTCTCCCTCCTCATCCTCCCACTCCTCCTCCTCCTCCTCCATCCTTTCTTCCCCCTCCCCTCCTGTCGCCCCCCCGAGGTTTGAGCAGCACGTGGATGTCCACGTCCCCGTGGAGCGGGAGGAGATCGTCCAGGTGCCGCCCCGGGCCCGCGCCCTCCCCCCCCTTTGTCTCGTCGTCGCCGCCGTCCCTCCCCTCGTCCCCCTGCCAGCCCCAGTGGCGCAAGCGGCCTCCATTCTCAGGTAGCGCCGCCCTGGTCTGGCCCTCGAATCCATTCCGAGTAGTAGTAGTGGTAGTAGTAGTAGTAGTAGTAGTAGTAGTAGTAGTAGTAGTCGTAGTCGTAGTCGTAGTCGTAGTCGTAGTCGTAGTCGTAGTCGTAGTCGTAGTCGTAGTCTTAGTCGTAGTCGTAGTCGTAGTCGTAGTCGTAGTCGTAGTCGTAATCGTAGTCGTAGTAGTAGTAGTAGTAGTAGTAGTAGTAGTAGTAGTAGTAGTCGTAGTAGTAGTAGTAGTAGTGGTAGTAGTAGTAGTAGTAGTAGCCGTAGTCGTAGTCAGTCGTAGTCGTAGCCGTAGTAGTCGTAGTAGTCGTAGTAGT